ATTTTTTATTTCATCAAATAGTTTATATTAATAATCACATGGTAATGACTATTGGGCAATCCAATGAATTAAATATTTTACAAATTAAAGGTATTTTAACTAATTTGATTAACTTTTTATGTGAAAGCTGATGAACAAACACAAAAATATTTTTCATAACGAGTAAACAATACGTTTTGCATCAGTGCAGATTTGGTTGCTGCTATCATTAATTAGGTTTTAAGTTGCTCATCATAGTTTTTTTCATACTTTTTTAATCTGTTCATCACAATTGTGACAGGAAAACCACATTAATAATAATAATAATAATAATAGTGTCGCACACAGATATATTGTTATCTTGGTAAAAAAAAACAATAATAATAAAACAGCAGAATTTCTTCAACTGTATGATGATTCATGGATACTGACTATACTGATGAAAACAAACATTACAAAACACAATTGTGTCTGTGAGAGCACTTAGATGTGTAAAAACCCATAATGCACACAAGAGCGTCCACATTTTCACATCATACAAATTACTATTTAGACTCGATTGCCATTATTAAAGCAGGAAAAAGCCCTGTGTGTTTCTGTAGCTGCCCATGTACCTTGCGGAGAAATACAGAGTTCTGGCATGAAACTCTAGATGGTGCATTCCGATAGGTCTAACTCAATCTGACCTAATGACATCATTATCACATGGCTCAGCTGATTGGTTCTCTCCTGTATCGGTAGCCAATGAGCTCGCTGCTCAACATTCAAATATATGACTAGTGCTTGCCGTAACAGTTGCAGCTTGCTTTAGAAACCCTCCACCTTCCCCAGCTCCACCTGTATAGATCTGCTATGAGTTGATTCATGTATGCTATATGGGGGTTATTTCATGTATGTTATATTTGCAGCAGCAATATTTCTTACATGCTCACAGCAGCATGTTGTTGATGTATTGGCAGTAGCAAATCTCGGTACTTGCTCTGCCGCAGCAGCAGCGTAGCAGATCTATTCTGCCAAGACCAAATACATTAACATTGTCATGTACATTACCCTGCCAATCCCTCCGAGAGTTGTCATGACAGAAGTGTGTTTGTGTATGTAAAATGTATAACTATAAATAAATATGAAAAGCTTTATATTTAAATATATGTAAACAAATAAAAAATGAATTGTAGAATGTGTGTGTGTGTGTGTTAATATTTGTGTAGATATGTGTATATCTAATTTAATTTTGACTAATTTCAAGAATTTAAGAATAAACTTTTAGATCAAAAGGTTTTTAAGATCAATAGAAGCAACCTTCTGACAAGTCTAAGTATGATTCTATTCTGCCAAGACCAAATACATTAACATTGTCATGTACATTACCCTGCCAATCCCTCCGAGAGTTGTCATGACAGAAGTGTGTTTGTGTATGTAAAATGTATAACTATAAATAAATATGAAAAGCTTTATATTTAAATATATGTAAACAAATAAAAAATGAATTGTAGAATGTGTGTGTGTGTGTTAATATTTGTGTAGATATGTGTATATCTAATTTAATTTTATGACTAATTTCAAGAATTTAAGAATAAAATTTTAGATCAAAAGGTTTTTAAGATCAATAGAAGCAACCTTCTTACAAGTCCTCTTAAGTATGATCTGCACTCTCATTTTGATTTCCTGAATCTCAAATTTACACTTTGATTTCCACATTAGCCAGTCTTAATTAAAAAACATGCTTTCAGTTAATTCCCAGCCATTCCATTCCTTTGGACTTTTTCACGTCATAATATTAAATAACACTGTCATCATGCGTGTCTAATTAATTAGTCACACAATGCTCAGTAATTGCATGCAGCACTTGTGACCTTTGGTTTGATCGTATCTTTTTCATGTTCTCCCCTTAGCGACCCTACGCAAGCAAAGCGCTTCTCACTGGCGCATGCAGAACATCACCCAGGAATCTGTTGACAGCTCAGATGATGAGTTTTTTGATGCCCGAGGTAAGTGTCACTTATTTCCAACCTTTTGTATAACCTGATGGCTTCAGCGCTTCAGCATCTGTGCCCTACTCTCTCTCCCTCTCTGTCTCTTTATATGTCCATCATATGCTGTCTATTACAGGTGCCTCACATCATTATGGATGTATTCCTCTGAAGTAGGCACTAAAAAAGCTGTAAACTTGTGTTAAATAGATTTGTAGGCCTCTTTCACGATGAACACAAATGCTAAACTGTGGCTTTCTGTTATTTTGTCATGGATTGTTGAGATGTGACCAGGAATGGGCGATATGACCAAAATCTTATATCACGATATGAGTAAATTTATTAGACAGTAACAATATATATCACAATATAGTTATTTTTGCTATAAATAAGGTCTTTATGATATAAACATTTTTGATACCATAGAAATGTCATAATTCTTGTCACCAGTGTCAATATCACAAAAAACTAATGCTAGCCTAAATTGAAAAAAAACAAAACAAGTTCACTAGACAAGTAAACAGTCAGCGATTAAAAAAGAATAAGAAACTAATTACAAGCAATAGGACAAAAAACTGCAGTAGAACAAATAAATAAGAAATGCTACACTAGGGCTGTGCAATTAATCGAAATTCAGTTTCGATTTCGGCCTCTAATGATTATGAAAATATAATAATCGAGATAAAACGATTATTGCGCCCCATTCCGCCCCCTTTCTAGCGGTGCGCTTTCACTCCTCCATAAAAGCCCATTTTCACGTGTAAATCAGTAAAATCATGTAACGTGAGTTTTGCAAAATGGGACGTGTTTGAGTTATTAAAGTTGATTAGATTTATTAATGTTTTCAAAAGCACGAAAGAGAACTTGCGCTGTTCCTCAGTAGGCTTGCGCTCAGAGACGGAACAGAACACGGACATGTGAAGTCTTTTCGCTGAACGTATGCGCCCAAACGGTCAAATACACGCAAAAATTGTGTCAAAATGTAGCGCTTAGTGATTATTCACGTAAACCCTCGTCGGTTATGTAATAAATGTGAACAGATGAGAGAATGAAAATACGTGTGTAACAGTAAATTGGATCCGTGCGGCTCTTAAAGTGACAGCGGGCTATATTCCTGCTGCCAACTGTGTGCTTAATATCAATCAAACAACAAAAGACAGAACAAATCATTCACTGCTCTTCACAGAAGGTCTTTTGTAGCTTTAATAAGAAGCAAAGGAAGTTAAATTCTTACAGTGAAGACTATGCTGTATTATTTTACATTTGATTATTCAAATTCTATAGGCTGTTAACTGAATACTTTAGACTTGCATTAAAAAAAAAAAAATTGTGTGTGCTTAATATCAATCAAACAACAAAAGACAGAACAAATCATTCACTGCTCTTCACAGAAGATCTTTTGTAGCTTTAATAAGAAGCAAAGGAAGTTTAATTCTTACAGTGAAGAATTCAAATTCTATAGGCTGTTAACTGAATACTTTAGACTTGCATAAAAAAAAAAAAAATTGTTATATGGCCCACTAATAATCATGTTAATCGTGATTACAATATTGACCAAAATAATCATGATTATGATTTTTGTCATAATCGAGCAGCCCCAATACATACATTGTAAAAAGCAATCAAATGTATAAAAACACTGAATATTCTTCACTGTTGAAATTAAATATATATTTATTCTTATTAAAGTTACAAAAGTGATTTAATCAAGAGCAGTGAGAGATTTCCTCCCTTTTATTGTTTGATTAACATGAATGAAAGGCAGCAAGAATATTAGACTGCTGTCACTTTCAGAGATGCCCTGATCCAATATACTGTTACGCGTGTTTTCTTTCTCAGCTGTTTGCTTTCACTTAAGACCTAAATTACTGTGTTTACGAGGATACTTGCAAAGTCTGGCATTTTGACAAATACAAATGTGTATATTTAACTGTTCAATGCCTATAAAGCAGCAAAATTAATAACTTAGTTTAATACTCCCGCACTCTATGAGCATTATCATCACGTGTGTGCGCCTCTCTCAGACAGCGTGCGCATATAGCGAAATGAGGTTACTTTCGGTGCTGATTACATTTCAACAGCTTAAAATCACTTTTTTTTAAAAACTGCAATGCTTAAAAACGTGTGCAAAAAAAAGTTTTCTATGTGACCACGTAGCACAGAAATGTCACGTGAGCATGTAACCGTGATAGAGACGATAGTCCAGAATCTCTACCTGTTAATCGTGTCTACCGGTATATCGCCCTCCCCTAATGTGACCTGACTGAACAGTGTAGTGTAGTCTTTGCAACTTCAGGGATCTTATCTATGCACAATCAGCTTGTAACACTCCAAAGAGAAAGGAAAACTTGAAATCGCATCATATGACCCCTTTAAACTATCATTTACCAAGCCTCAATTTAACATTACTGTACTTTTGTTTGTAATAAGGTCAAAATAACAAGCATTTACAATCAACATGATGAAAACTGGCAGCCATTTGTGCTTGTCAGCTCATAAGTGTCCCTGCACCAGCGAGCCAATCGAGGCCCATACAATAAATAGCTCAAGATTTGCGTCTTCAGGAAAATGCCACCTTTAAACAAAATCCTCTAAATTGACTGGGTTTCACTTTGCCATTCTCAGCATTGCAACTATCCATTATATAGCATTTATATTTAGCTGACGCTATTATCCAAAGTAACTGACCATGCAGATACAGCAACTTGAGGGTATGTTTCATACTCAAGCAACCCATCACAACCCATTTTGTTTTTGCTAATGTGACTTATTTTGTAATGGATGTTTAATGAAAAAACTTATGGCAGAATATTTGTATTTAGAATAACATGCAGCATTGAATTATACAAAATATGTTGAGGAACGTGTATTAGGAAAATAAATAGGTTTTCAATCCATGTTGGCATTAAATGTGAATGGCAGATGAACAGATGTGGGCAGTTTCTTGCTGTTTTTTGCACAATACTATGTGCTGTACAAACCTGTGGCAGTCGAGTCCCAGTGCAGCCGTTAACATTTGGTCAGTGAATGGAGGTGTGACTAAAACAGGGAATTCTCCATTAGAGGTGCGAAAAAGATCATATCGTCCCTTGAGTCGCATCTCCAAATTAGTTACTTTGATTGTTTTGGTGTTCAAAATTAGATTATTCTGCTCTATAATTCATTCACATAGTCTCTAGGAGCTCTTGTGTCTGTCTCCCCCACATTAGTAAAAACTTAAGAGTGGGTTGTAGCAGTGTATAATGTAATCAGTAACCTGCATGTTTCCACATCTATCTTTCATGAGACACATTTCTCATTCATTCTTAATGAACCCCCCGCTTTACCACACAGCACAGAACCTCAATTAAAGTCAAGATGTTACAGTGGGATGGCATGGGGAACATGCCAGATAGTTCCCTAATGTGTTTTTGGCTGGTGTTTATTATTCCTTCGTTAGGATTCGTTTATATATTCCGAGATAGCTACATTATTACCTGAAGCTCCTTGATGGCTAATGTAAAAATCGTAATTGCACAATGTGCAAAATGCAATGCTATTCCTGTTATACAGTATTTTAGAGTAAAAAATAGGGATGCAACAATACAGTAAGCCCACAGTTCAACACTCAAATACAAAACTCGTTTTCTTTTTACCACGGTTTTTGGTTTGTTTCGGTTCTGATGGCTTGGCACATTTTTTTTTGCGATTTAAAATGCTATTTAAAAAAAACTCTTTAATTAAAACTCCTTGCATGAATCAGTCAGATGGCGGGAGTGGAAAGGGGATCGAGCTGGATTTTGTGTTGTTGTTGATTTGCAGTCTCTTTTTAATGATAGGCCGTACACATTTGTCAATCCTCCCCACTTGCTATTTGGGGAATTAACCCAGCGCTCTGATTGGTTGAACTCTTCTTTTGATTTGAGTACTGCACGTGGACAGAGGCGTCACCAGGTTTTTGCATAGTTTAGAGTGACAAGGGATACAGCTACAGCCGGAAAGTAACAATAAATTAAATTTGCTACCTATTAGATTTTGTTTTATTAGTGTCTACACCTACCCCAACCTTAAACCTATCCCTTACAATAATGCAAATACAGTAATTGTTGTTGTTCAGCGTGACAAAAATTACGCAATATTGATGTGCGCATGCCCAGTGGCTGTAGCTGTGTAGACCTTCTAGCCTCAACCAAACCGTACCAGCGTACTTTGAGGTCAAAATATGTACGCATACACAACATGTGTACAGGTTGTCAGCTCTGCAGCTCTGAAGAAATGTAATATACTGTCACAGTGCATTATAGGGAATATACTGAGAGGATGACCAAGGCTGGAGGCACAGTAAGACCAGCACTAAGTTGTTTGCTAACGACTATTACAGTGACTGCCAAACTTTTCAGAGTATACAATGTGTTCTTGTGTTTCTAAATTTATTTAAATCCTCATTTTGTGTATCAGAAAATAACAACCCTCTACATTGTGAGTAAATCACTCGCATATGCGACTAAATCTTCACTCTGGGCGACTAAATGATGTCTAATATTAGCCAATGGCTAATAAATTCTCAGATTTTACTCGCCAGTGTGTGAGTTGGAGGCTAAGTATAAGTTTAGCACAGATATATTTTCACTCGCCAAACACTCTGTGATATTTTTCATCAGCAAATCAGTTCCAGCGAACGCACACAATCTGATTAACATTCATGAATCCAGCAGCTTGTTAATCCTTGGTGCGTTTTATATTGTTCTTATTAGTAGAATTCGTATATTATTATTATTATTATTATCTTATCAGTATTATTGTTCCCTTATATGTTCGCTTATAATGATGTTTTCTAATTTGAGTGGTACGGGTAGGTTTTCGCGGGAAATTCGAGCATGCTGCCGCATCATTACATCATGTCTGTAAACATAAAGAAGTTGTCTTGGCTACTAGGCTATCACATGTGAGGATCCTGCAGGTGGTGGATCGTTTATAGCCTTTTCTCACAGATCGATTAATCGATTAATCTAAACGATTAATTTCCCACAAAAAAACAA